TTGGTGAATTTTAATAATTACTTTGATATTTGGGGATGTGTGTAATTAAATGCATATATATATGTATATATATTGTGATTAGAGAAACCTAGGACACATTATGTAAAATGATGAGCTCTACTCTACATTTACATTATACCTAAAACTAATTAAAGATTTTAATACAAAGAAATTAAATAATTAAGGGCCCTAATTAAAGACAAAGAGCATGATGAATAAAAGATACAGAAGGATTTGCGTGAAGAGCATGAGACAAGGGCATGACCCATATATTCAATTGATGTTCCTAAACGTTAACCCACATTTTAATTAATATGTTTTTTTTTTTCCTTTTTCATAATTAAATAAAAAGGGTTTATGAGATGTGGGGCCCAATGATGGATGACTAAAGGAATGTTTTCATCTAACATGGGACAATCATCCATGCCAAGATGTCAAGTTGTCAACCTCACACACACACACACCAAGGAAAGGGGCCAAGGGGGGAAGACCAATTTGGTGACGTTTCATATTTAGGTCAACAAAGCCAATGATTAATGACTTGTCGTTCTTTGGAATTTAGGAGAGCCTATTCTCTTTGGTGGAAAATGCATTAGAAATTAATTGAATTAGACTCTGGAAGTCAATCTCGCTTTAAAAGAGAGAGATGGCCATGGAGGGCGGGAACAAAACCTCATTTAGAATAGGATCACATTTTGGATAATGCATGAGAGAGAGAGAGAGAGAGAGAGAGAGAGAGAGTAGGTGAGGACTAATTAAAAAGATTAATTAATTAAACAGCTACTCAATCCAGATGATAAAATAACAAGTAGGAGGACTGCACGAAAAAAGCAAGGTTTAGAGCTTTTATTTTGCACTTTAATCATTCTTCCATTGAACATGCCTTATCCCCACATCTTCAATACAATATTGCTTACTAAGAATACCATATATAATTAATGTATTGTGTTTGTGTTGTGCCTGCCTCCAAACCACTAGTCGCTGCCTTTTCTTTTCGTTTCATATATCCGGATGTCCACACATTATTATCGTATGGATGCTATTCTAAATAATCAAAAAAGCATAAAGAGATGTAATACAAAATATATATGTAATTGAATTATTATTAGAATATTGGATGGCTCTCATCTAAATATGGTGCGTGCTTTAGTTATTAGTTTGGGGTGGTTGACTAAGGATAGATAGCCAAGCAAACACGTTTGATTTACAAAACAAATGGTCCACTCCCTTAGATTGGACTCAAATTACTTCACTTAAGGTCAACTGGTAGCCACACAAACTTGTTTTCTTTTCTTCTTTCAATTTCTCATTTTTCCCATCTTCTTCTTGGGACTTGACTCAAGGGCGGCCCTAAGCATAAGCAGGCAAGGCGGCCCTAAGCATAAGCAGGCAAGGCGGCTGTCTAGCACCTCAAATTTATATATATATATATATATAAATTTTACTTTTATTTTTCATGCACACCTCAAGATGAGCTCAGCATGACAACTTCGTATAATTGCCTATATGAAATAATAATTGATCATATAATTGTACGTGTATAAAAGAATTGGGCAAGGATTAAGGGCGTATTATGATTTATAATAAACATATAAAACAGATGAATAAGTGCTAATGGACCATATACAATAAGTGCTTTGGTTTTTTTTTAAAAAAATCTTTATGATAACCCTAAAAATGCACTAACTAATATTAATCTATTATAATTAAGAACAAACCATTTGGGGTGTGGTAGAGACTAGAGACTAGAGACTAGAGAGAGAGAGAGAGAGAGAGAGAGAGAGTCGCAGGTCATGACATGAGCATGAGGGTCCAAAGTGGTCATTTTCTAGAGGAAGGGAAGGAACATTTCTGAATGCAAAAGAATACAAGAAGAAAATCCAAGAGTTGGAATTGGATGGCTGTGACCTAATTTCCCTTTCTTTATCATTTAGTGGGACGTGTCTTCCCCTCAACTGCAAGCTGACTCTCTTCTCTTTCTTAACCCATTAAGTCGATTCTCTAAAACTAAAAACTGAAATCTATTTGAAATTGTTTTTACTTTCAAGTTTTTATTTTCACTTTTGTTACTTCTTCTTCTAATTCTTACTCGCGTTTTCCTCTATACTCTAGCAAAAAAATAAAATGGTTATCAAACGATTGCAAGTAAGAAAACTAATTAAAAAAAGAACTATAGAAAAATAGTTTTTGAAATTAGAGATGCATAAAAATATGAAGTCTGCAAGCAGCATTACCAGTTGAATATATGCTTTAAAAAAACAGTTTAATTTATTTCTGTGGCTGGCTGAGATTAATTTTTTCCTGGGTACAAAAATGTGAAGGAATACCACGTTTCGGATTTGAATTACACAACTTGTCCTTTTATTATTTATTTTTAAAAAGTGTATACCGCCCATGTCAGAATCTGGCTCCCACAAGGCGGTGGGTGCGGATTCGCTGTGGAAAACCGCACGATTTGGTCATTAAAATAGACGGCTGTGATTATACGGCAGGGGGGGGGGAAGGCCCGATTTGGTCATTAAAATAGACGGCTGTGATTATACGGCAGGTGGGGGAGATGGCTACGTGTCAGCCACCCGAAATGATTTGAAGGAAAACCCCTTCTCCCATTGTCGTTCTCGATCTCAAGTCTCACCCTTTGACTCTCTTTGTAGAAGCTCAGCCAGCCAAGCTCTACAGAGGCCCCACTTGACCACGCACGCGCGCCTGCTCGCCTGGGTCCCAGGTTGACCCATCTTAGCTTGCCAAATCATGATGCGCAACCAGTTAATTAATTACTAATTATTTAAATCAAGCTGCAAGGTTCTTTATAAAAGAACAAGCCGGATCGTTAATTTGATTTAAACCTTGCACTTCTCTTTATTTATCTCATATTCTAAGTTCACCTCAACTTCTAATTCAAATTTTCACAATTTTTAAGAAAACCTCATTATCTTCACGAACTAAATACGCACCCGTTAGAAAAATAAAAATAAGAAACTCATCAACCTCACACCCAACACCCGACACCCCGCTATTTTGCTCATCACTAATCTAAGTTCATCTTAATCTCACATTACTTGAAGAGATAAAAACACCTATTATCAAATGTGAGGATCTTTGTTGTTGTTGAGGATCTTTTCTATTGAAAGGAACGATAGTATACTAAACTTACATATACTATACGGATGTTAAGACTCGTATCCAAAACCTTGCCTGAAAGAGTAAATAATCCAAACCCCTACATTAGGTCCTTTACTTTTCCGAATGATTTTAAAATGTAGTTATTATTTATTTTGCGAGAAGGTTGAGTTGAAATAGAACCAATTACATCAAATATTGACGATTTTAGTAGTCAACACAGATTTTTGATGGAATTAGAAGTCAATATTAGGTAGTGGTCCATTGTATTAAAATGTACCATCGAATTGCAAAAGAATAAAAATAAAATAAGAATTAGGCTGCGGTCCATTATAAAATGTAATTTTTTTTAAATTTAAAAAAAAAAAACAGTGAAGCTATCTTATCTGTATACACAAGTTTGTATGATTAATTTTACACGTTTGTCGACGCTGACAAAGTTGTTAGGAAGGAACTAGGATCAGCAGAATGAATCACTGTCAAAATAGATTTGCTTCTTTACATTACTATACTAAGGAAAGCAGCTGCAGAAACTCATGGATCTGACCTAACATCCCTTTGAATTTTAATTCAATATAATAAAGTCAACCATTTTCTTAATGTTTTCGTGCAGAAATTTGAGATGGTACATCCAACGATGTCCACAGCTTTTTGAGCAAGTTGTGACTAGCGAGCAAATGTTCAAAGATATATGGGCCGTAAAAGCTTGTGTTTTTGGTTAGTTGAGAATGATATCCAAATTGAAGCAACCGAGATCGTACCTGCAACTTTGCACTAATAATTGACCGACACCGGGAATATTCATTCTGTGTGGTCCTTATGAGTTTTTCTTCTTTAATTACTAGAAAATATGGGGATTCGAACTTGAATGCAATGAGTCGAACATAGTGCTCTGCACCGACACTCGTGAGTTTAAGGTAAGTGCTTGCTTCTACTTGATGCTCTGCTGCAAGTTAAGCGGATCCAAATTCGGAAATATCGATCAGACTTCGTTGTGGAAAAATTGCGCAGCAGATTAGTCAATTCATTGTCAAGTCAACTGCACATTCCCACAACTTGCTGACTTCACTGAAAGATGAGCTTAGAGCCATCTTCTTCCTCCCAAACTTGTTGGTTGGGTTGAAATTCTTATCCTTTTTGATATTTTGTGGTGATCAGATATTTTTTTTTCCTTCTTCTGACTCAACTCAAGTGTTTGAACATATTGGTTTGGATGTGTCAATTACAAAGGTGGAATGGCAATTAGAAAATGAAAATGATAATAGTGAGGTGGGGAGATATCAGAAAATTTCAGAAGACACAAGCGTAACCCATAATCATCATATACGTGGTCCATGTAGTCCCCCATGGCCATGGGTCCGAAAATCTGAAGATTTATTCTGGGGATTGGACTTATGAATTATTATAATTCAAAAACTCACAACAAGTTTCAGCCGTCGGATTTCAACAAATACAATGAAGAAGTTGCAAATTATTCGTCCAAAACAGTGAGGTGTCAGTCAGATCAAACACCATCATCATCATCCCTTTATTCGTAAGTAAGAAGAATTTTTCCACACAGACATCATAAACAATAGAATAAAATAACTATATAAACCGAAAAGCAAGGAGAAGGCATAAAAATATGGATAAACCAAGAATAATAATAATAATAATACTAAAACAAAATACTAAGCAATTTCAAAGCTAAAAGAAAATTCGATTCAGAATGCTCTGTCTCATTTGTCCAATCATCTCCCTTCAACAAAAAAAGAAAAAGAAAAAGAAATGTCAACTGGATTCCCGTAAATAATTTCCAACTTCTAGTCCGTACCCCTAACCGTTTGATATATAAATTGCAACTCTGCAAAGCTCACAACAAAACCATAATATATTTCATATTTGCTAATAGCCATAGCCTCTCTCTCTCTCTCTCTCTCTCTCTCTCTCTCTCTCTCTCTCTCTTATGATATATAAAACAGAGTGCTCCTACGTGAGAGTCAAAAATACTCAAGGAAGCAAGTTAAGTTAAAGATATATAATATAACTTTTGAGCTTAATAATATCATGGCGGAGGAGTTTCAGGCCGGGATTTGTGGCAGCAGCTGGTGGAACACATCGAGACACGCGCTGGTGGCGTCGCCATGTTCTGTGGGGTTTAATGATCATATGGGGAGCTTTGGCTGCCCAAACGACATGGTGGACATCAAGGCATCAAGGTCTTCTTGTGGTGAGATTAATAACTCGGTTTCTGATCATGATGATGATCATCAGCATACTGATTCTGGTAGTGTTCTGATTGATTCCACCTTGCAAATGATAGGTTTTGATCATTCATCTTCCTCGTCGTCAACACCCTCAGATTTGAACCAAGCTTTGCTCCTGTAAGTTCAATTTCAATTCTCTAGCTAAACATCCACTCCTCCTATAGTTAAAACTCATGCATGAAGATTCAACACCCTTAATTAATTTGTTGTGTTCATTACTTCAGAAAATGGAGTCAATATGTTGAACTCTAATGATATTGGGAAAGTGAATTAATATGAATTAGGTTTTTGTTTTTTTCTTGCAGAAGTCGTAGTGGTGGTGGAAGAGCTGAGAGCAATTTTCATAATTCTATGCTCCAAGAAGGTGTAGGTGTTGATGAAGATTCGTCATCTCTAATAGATGGTTTCAAGCCCATGAGTCAAGATTTTTCTTTGGACCAATTAGGCTCATCATCTTCTTCTGGCTTTCCCATAACTTCATCATCCTCAGCTGCTAATTCCTATGGCTTCCCCTCAACATTTTTGCAAAGTATATTTGATTCTGAAGTATCCCAACCCCAACCCCAACAATCACTTTTCAACAATAATCACTTTTCAAATGACTTATTGTTACCTCCTTCTCCTACTAGTTCTTGTTGGCCACCCAGATACTCTCCTAGCAGCTGCCTAAGGCCCTCAGCAGTATCACTGCCAAAGCAATTACAACCTGGTGGTGGTGGCGGCGGCGGCTTGCACTTTCCCAATAATATTAACACACCCTTCTGGAACACCCCAGCTGCCACCGCTCTAAATCATGGCAATGGAATTCGATCTAGTAATGGCCTTTTTTCCTCCTCACAATCACAACTTACAGCACCTGCCTCTTCAGCACTTGTTCATGAACACAAACCTAATTCCCACAACTTTACTACCAAGGTAATTAATTAAATTTTTAGTATTTATTATATCTATATATTTATATAGCTAGGTAGGTTATGATTTAAGGGTAATGATTTGGATGTTGAAATTTCAGGGCAACACTAATGAGGATGTTCAAGACTCAAACTCAGTTGTAAAGAAAAGTGGGAGCAGCATGAGCAGCTGTGAACCTGTATTCAAAAGAGCTCGAATTGAAACACCTTCACCCTTACCGACTTTTAAGGTACGACACATCCAATCAAGCTTTTGGCAGCAGCCATCGAACGAGGAGCTTGCTTTCTCTTTGCCAAAGTGATTTTTGATGTTTCCTTTTTAATTTAATTAAAGGTTTCTTTTTTTCTTTTCCTGTTGATTAGGTTCGGAAAGAGAAGCTCGGGGACCGGATTACTGCTCTCCAGCAATTGGTTTCGCCTTTCGGAAAGGTGAAGTTTTGGAGTTTTGTTTCTCTACTTTTTCAACAACAAACTTTACTAATTTGTAAAATATCAAAGGAATTATTCAAACTTACCTTCATTCCTTTTTGTTGTCTTTTTTCTTTTCCAGACTGATACAGCTTCTGTCCTTCACGAAGCTATTGAGTACATCAAATTCCTCCACGAACAAGTCAGTGTATGTTCCTTTAGTATCTTCCTCTCTTTTTTTTTTCCTTTCCTTTTTTGTAAACCCTAGTTTTGGAGGCTGATCTTAATTACGATTGCTAGCTAGTCGTTGAACGTTTTGTTTAATTCATGGAATTTCAGGTTTTAAGCACTCCATATATGAAAAATGGAGCCCCCATGCAACACCAACAGGGTAGTGATCATAAAATGAAGGAGGCAGAAGGAGCAAAACACGATCTAAAAAGCCGAGGACTGTGCTTGGTTCCGATTTCAAGCACCTTCCCGGTTGCTAATGAGACGACTGATTTTTGGACACCGACATTTGGAGCAACTTTCAGGTGATCAATCCATCCATCACAAGAGAAGAGGGAGAGCCAAGCTTAGGCCCAAGGGTGCCTAAGTTATCTACCAATAATATTTTAATGGAACTGGTTTTCTACAAGCCAGAGCTAATGATCCATGTAGGCTAGCAAGTGATTAATTAGTGACCATTAATGAAATTATTATGTAAAAACCCAATATTACTATTAATTATTAGTTAGAGAGGGGGGTTGGGAACAGGAACAGGTGCTAAATTTAGCGGAAGTCGACATTAGTTTAGGAAGAGTTGTTATTTGTTGTTGTTGTTGTTGTTGTTGTTGTTGACAATAGCTGAATTTAGCAGATGAGGGGATAAAGAGCTGCCTTTTGTTCCTGTTTATGTAATGCTGTCAGGGGTGGCACCACCCAACTACCACCTTTTATCATCTCAGAGAAGAAAAAACAGATAAATAAAAGCGATTTTACATTGTATTTGATTTGTTTATATAATTTATGTTGTTCAAGAATCAAGAACAAAAGAGAAAGATGAGTGAGTGGAGCTTATTTCATTGGCGTTTTAACTTTTTTCATTTGTTTATTATATGTTTGGAATGTAGTAGTGGGAAGTCAGAGGGCGGCCCACTGTTCCTGCTTTTAGGGCTTCTGGTCATGACTCATGTGAGAGATAGCGAGAGAGACAGAAACAGATGTGCATGCGCGAGTGCATGTATTTGCGCGTGTAAATCCATCAATAATTAACTATAATATATATATAGAGCTTCAGTTGCGAGATAAAAAGAGCCGACCGGCCACACTCATGCTGCTTGTGAGCGACCGGCTCTATCTCTCGCATATGTATTATTTTTTCCTAAAGAATAACCACATAATTCTAATTAAAGTGCACCTGAATAAGAGTAGTACGTAGCTCTATGTGCTAATTAATTTCAAGGCAATAGACTCAATTCATAGATGCATGTATATATTTGTGATGAGAAAAATATTAATCTCTCGTCAATAAGATGAGAATCAGAGTCATTTATCAAGTTGATTGTTGAATAAATGTGTTGCCAAGATTTACTATCTAACAATATGTCACTTGGGATTGCATCTCCCATCTTCAAAGGAGACTATGCTGTGGTGGTTGAAGTCGTAAAGCGAGTAGGACAAGATTATTCAAACGTCGGTACCATTGTTGAAGATGTAAAGCATCTTCAGAAACAGATTCTTGGCTATCTTTTTCAATTTACTCATAAGAAAGCAAATGGTGTTACACACCGACTTACTCGATTCAGTTTGCATAATGTAGACAGTTTTATTTGGTTTGAGGTGCCCAATGATCTTATTTAGGACACCTTATTAAGTGATTTGTTGAGTTGGAGTCAAGCGTATTGTCCTTCTCCGTTGTAATTCTTCATTTTATCAATAAAATTTCTCTTGTTCCTTCTAGGGTCCCTCAAAAAAAATAAAAATGTCTGACAACATAAACAAATTATGAGAAATAAAAGAACATTCACTTATATTTTGTGATGATTATCTCCAACTTCTACGACTCTACAATCAATATTATCCTTGGTGACAACTCGAACCAGCTCAGTTTGATAACTCATTTTGCTTTTTTGTGTTTATAATTACATGGAACTTCTGTCAAAGCATGGCTGCATGGGGGTGAAAGCTTTCCCCACTTTTCCCAACATAAACAGTGCGCAGCAGATGTATCATCATATATATATATATATATATGTATTGTTACTTTCAGAATCATTGCTGATTTAGATTGCAAGTATATATAGCAGAAACAAATTTCCTCCATTAATACTTGGGCTGTCTAATAAGCATAAATTTTAGTCTAATCATATATCCATATACACGAGGTTAATCTGGAAATACCAAAACAAGGTTTATTGAAAGTTGCTTTGAATAAATTCTTGATCTTACTAATATGCGTGCGTGTGTGTCTATATATATATATATAGAGAGAGAGAGAGAGAGAGAGAGAGAGAGAGAGATTAATTAAGGTGGCAATTGATGAAGAGGCTAATCAAGTAATACGCAAAGCCCAAGAAGCTTAAAATTGAAGAATCCCTATAAAAGATGACTAATCATGAGAGGGAAAAAAAAGAAAGGTACTTTAATGTTTAAAATCTATTACAGATATTGATATCTCTTGGCGCCCACTTTATTTTTATCTTTTTGTGACCTGTGAATTGATCGGCAGAAGGCTGTGATACCATACTTTGAAGCAAGCATCGGGATCAGTACCATTTGTTCCTCTCTCTCTCTCTCTCTCTCTCTCTCTCTCTCTCTCTCTCTCTCTCTCCCCTCTGGAGAAGTCGATGGAATTGAATTCTTTTTAGAGTATTTTTCTTAAGAGCTTTGGCGTATGTATGGAATGGTACTCTCTCGTCTCAAGTCATGGTTACTTATTTAAAAGAAGAAACATAGAAGGAATACTTAAAAGGAAAGCATCTTAGCATCATTGTGCTGTTAAGAAAGTGAATGTATGACTTCCCAGCAATTCTACAATCTTTGCTTTAATGGAATTATACTTCTTTTTCGTGTTTTGGCTAATCAATGCCAAGCTCTATTTTCGTCTTCTGCTTGACGTTTTCCAGCTTAGAAAGGCTCATTTCTTTCTGCAACTTTGAATCTTTTTTTCCACCCATTCATTCTCACATCACATATATATCAAACATAAAGCTTAAATTAATTAAGCTCTTAATCAAGTTTAAAGATCCAAGATTCAATTGGATTTATGGGCCACCTAACCATTTGGCCCACCCAAACCTTTTGGATATCGGGCTAACTGTGTCATTTGGGCTCACCTATTACGCATAAAATGGGATTTATGTGAGTATACAATAGAATGATCACAACTGGAATGTCCTTAATTATATGATCAGATCACAAGGACCACTCATCCTGTATATATTCCACAACATTTTCCCATCAAGATGCATGAAGATGAAGCTATATGGGCAGCCACTCGTGTCTCTGATGATTTGGGCAAAGTGTATACAAACTTTGATCTTTAGTAATAGCCACTGTTTTAGTCGATATAAAACGCATTACAACAAACGTATTTGACAAAGTACATATTATTTTTTACGAAAACATGAGGTTGCAAAGTGAAACCTGGAATGGGAATTAAGAAAATAAAAAATGCGGAATAGAATGCTGGACAGCAATTGTGTACTCGATCATAATCAGACAGTTGAGCCCTTAAGCTTTTTCGCAATGCCCGCAAAGTACTTTCCCTGGTGGAAAGCTTGTTGTAGTTCTAGTTCAGAAGGCTGTCTTGTGCCATCCCCAGCGTAAGTTCCTGCACCATAGGGGCTGCCACCCTTGATCTGCTCCATCTCGAACATGCCAGCTCCAAATGAGTACCCAATAGGCACAAAGACCATTCCATGGTGAACAAGCTGAGTAATTGCTGTCAAGCTGCACAGTTTCAAGTACAACAAAAAACAGGACAAGGAAAGTCACATTACTGCAACAAAGTAGGGAAA